AATTAGTTGAATATTAATTTTAAATTTATATTCAATTAAAATAAAACAATATTTATTTTTAAACATTTCGATTTAAATTGAAATTAAAATTATGTTAATAAATATGTACTTCAATTTTAAATATAATATTTAAACTTATTGTTATTTTATATGTAATAATTAGATATTTTTATTAAATTAGTTGAATATTAATTTTAAATTTATATTCAATTAAAATAAAACAATATTTTTAAACATTTCGATTTAAATTGAAGTTCATATTTATTAACATAATTTTTAATTTCAGATTAATATACAACTAAAACATTACATTTGATATACAAATTAATATTCCAAAATTTTTCTAATTGAAAATGCCATGGAAACACATCCTATATTTGTTGTTGGAGCAACCACCAACTTAAATTAATAAATTAATTCCAAAGATCGGCCTCCATTGGGTTTTTTGTTAAGTTAAGCTCTGTTTTTAACTTTTTGAAGATTTGTTCAGTCCTCGGAAAAGTTGACAATTTTCAGCGACTGTTCGCCATCTAAATTTCTTTCTGGAAAGAGAACAAAATGCGTCAACAATGGGACAAACAAGCATATTTATCATATTTTCGTTTATACTTTCAACGTCCTTTCTTGTAAAATTAAAGTTTGAATGCATTGCAGTTTGAAATTCTATGCAATTATTTGATACCGCATTCAAATTCATATTTAATATTACACTGGGCATCAATCGACTCTTTTTCACATATAAAATTGCTTGGAATTTCCGCGTAGCTTTCACTAAATTTTGCAAATTGGTTGTCAGCATGTTTTTTTCTAACATGTCTTTTAAACGTTGATGAATTAGTATAAACACTTTCACAACACATATAATTGTCGTGCGTTTTCAGAAAATGATATTCTTTTAAATGTTTAAACAGATTATCATTTTCTGTAAAATATTTAGCACAAATAAAAAACTTCATATTATACTTACTTATTTTGTGTTGCTCCAAACACTTCACTTCACCAAAACACTTTTACTTTTAACGTCTGCTCGCTTCGAAGAGAAAATACCGAATGAGATCAACAGGGATTTATTTTTTTTCCTTTTCTGATATTCGTTTCTTTGTTTGTGGTCGACCACCATTTAAAACTTGTTGCTCTCTTTTGTTCTCAGCTGTAACCAAAAAGGCACAAATCATTATTTGCAAAAAGAAAACATAAAGTAGCCAAAAAAATACTTATTACCTCCCTCTATTCTAAAAAAGATCAACCACCATTCAAATATGTTATTCTCTTTTGTTCTCAGCTCACATAATTATGAACTGCCGCTAGCGGCAAAAACAACCACGCAAGTATACACAAAAAATTGATGTTGTTGCTGCTAAGAAACTCAACCCTGCTCAATCGTGCATCACTGCTTTATGGTGGCAGCTAAGCAGCGACGTAGCCAGAGAGTCAATTGAAATTTTTTAAATTTGTGTTTGCAACAACCATTTTTTTTTTTTTGGGATAAAAGTGTTTCAGTATATTTGGATTTTTATATTATTATTCAAAATGCATTTTGTATGTTTAAAAAATTTTAAAAACAACAGAACAATTTCTGTTTTTTTTTTAAAGAATTAAATATTTGATAATTATCGTAGTATTTAATATTATAATATGATTATTATCTCGGTATATGCTACTTTATAAACTTTATTAGATTTTTATGACATATACACTTTGTAATTCATATAAAAACATTTTTAATAATGCTTTTATTTTATATAATAACAAAAATTGAATTTATCAATAATTTTTTCCGACCACAAAAATGTACACACAATTTTTTTCAGTACTGTTCTGTTTTCTCTCACACATACTAACGCATTTTAATTTTGGGCACCTATGCCCATAATGAAATTCTGTCGACGATACTGCAACTAAGAACAAAAAAGAATAACACATTTGAATGGTGTTCGATCTTTGTTATGGTGTTTTTACACGATATGTATTTTACATATGTGCTGTCACTTATTTGATCCATATGTAATTCCTTATGTGTGTCAAAATTAGCAGTGTACACAAAACATTTATTTTTGTGTTCAAATCGGCATATGTATTTTACATATGACATAACCTATAAACAAAAAAACACTTTTATTTTTTCTTAAATCAACATAATTTTTTTATTAAACACCTACAAACGAAATAATAATTTGTAATTGTTGCCTTTTCATCCTTTTTTGAATTACAATTGAAATATTTTCTTCCAACAATGTGTTTCATTCAAACAGCTGATTTCCTTATGTTTCACATACGAAAATAGAGCGCGTCCTATTCGGAAAAAAATACATATGTAATTGCATATCGTTTTGACACATTGAAATTTCCGTATGTTTCACATGACGAGTTCGATTTCCATGTGTAAAAAAGTGACAGCACATATGTAAAATACATATCGTGTAGAAACACCATTAGAATGGATGGAGGGAAGCCAGGAGTGTTTTTTCGGTTGCTAAGTTTTTTTCTTTTTGCATCGATATTCTACCGGCAAAAAACTACGCAAGTATACATACAAATTGTTGTCGTTGTTACTATTCAAAAAGAAACGCATTATTTGCTATTTCCATTCTAATTCCAAATTGCAAAAATGCGTTTGTTTTTGGATGATAGCAACAACATCAATAAATTGTGTGTATACTTTCGTAGAGGTTTTTGTCGGTAGCGTCACTTCATAATTATGTGTATGCATTTTGAGAGTGAGGTTAGAAAAGAGGGAGGTAAGGAGTTTTTTCTGTTGATCTTTGTTAGTAAAGGAGTGTTTTTTTCCTGTTAATCTTTGTTAGAAAAGAGGGAGGAAAGGAGTATTTTTTTCTGTTGCTACGTTATTTTTGTTTTTTTTTTTTTTTTTGCAAAAAATAAAAAGACGGTTAATGTTTAGCGGGAGGTAAAATGGGGATTTTCGGTTGCCACGTGTTTTTTGCCAAATTATATGAAACAAATTTGTACTTATGAAGCGTGGAAAATAATATTCTCCCTCAGTCTATGCTGGCATAGCAAGTTTATTGTTTATTGCGAATGTACATACAGCGCATCAAAAATGAAAATTGTTGGAATAGAGAATAGATGATAAATATTTCTGCAACATAATTTTAGCTTACAACTTTTAATGATTTCTTGATCACTGCCGGTTGTTGTTATAACCGTACTCGTTATAAACGTAGTGATTTGTATAACAAATAGGTACCATTTTTTTGGGACCGGAGAAAACAGCTCGCTATTCGCATACTTTGTTATAACCGGAGTTCGTTATAACCTGTATAATAAATATAAAGATTAGCTACTTTTCCCTACTATGTTTTTAACATGTTTCCCAGTTTCATTAAATGAATGAAACGTTTCATTAATTTCATGAAACTGCTTCATTAAATTGTAGCCAACATTTAAATATAACAATTATCAAAATTTACCCTTAAATTTCATATGTTTTGATTGCGTACTTGTTTGCAACTGGCAGAAATTTTATGTATCATTTCAAAAATTACATATTTTACTGAATTTTATACAAATAACAAGTTTCGTAACAATAATGAAACGCATTTCATTTATTCAATGAAACCACAAATCATTGAATTTTTATGCAACGTAAGATTACATTGCATGAACAAAACTTTCATTATATTAATGTAGCTTTTCGTTGCATCAATGAAAAAAGTCAATGATATAACGAAGAATTTTTCTTTCAGTGTAAAGAGTTACACTGAAAGGCACTACTGGTCCCAAATATGAAATATGTAACTTGTTTAGCGGTAGAACAATAATGCAACCTAGTTTCGTTCTATATTTTATAAAGCCTCGCCGAAATAAAGTATACATATGTTAATCTCAAAATCATATGTTCATCAAATGAATCACAAATTCAGAATTACAGAGCCACATAACCATGCTTGTTAATGTTATTTAATTTAAAACTACTAGAAATATTTGTATTGAGTGTTTATCGACCTTTTTTGTAAGATTAGCTGAGCTTGAGATATTTTTAAATTATTTTATTTATTGCAAAGATTTCCGATATTTCGCAATTATCAAATTGCATCTTCAGGGGTGATATTTACAGTCAGGTTAAGAAACAGCTAATGTAGTTGTACTAAAATAGTCTAGAGTTGATATTGCCCCTGAAGATGCAATTTGATAATTCCGAAATATCGGGAAATCTTTACAATAAATAAAATAATTAAAAAATACCTCAAGCTCAGCTAATCATTTTATTTGAATACTACTAGAAATATTATATATTCTTGGACAAAAATAAATGTTTCATTCCAATTAGAAAAAGTTTCATTATAAAGGTTTCATTATAATTGGAAAAGGTTTCGTCTAATTTGGAAAAGTTGCATTTAATTAGGAAAAGATTTTATTTAATCTGAAAATGCTATACATATATATATATATATATATATATATTATAGAGAGTAAAATAATTGTATCCAGAAGATAAAAGCAGAAAATTAACAAAATATATCCTTAATCTTTTATTGTGGCTATAAAAAGCTAACGTTCTAAATATTCGTCAATGTTGTATTGGATGCTTCCAAACAGCAAAAATATACAGCGAAGCAAAGTTTATTTTATTCGTGAAGAGCGAAAAGGCGCATGACTATCAAAAGTTTTTAGTCGGTTGAGCTTTCATTGAACCACTTCAGTAGTTTAGTTCGTTTTCCGTTAAAATATAAGAAACACACAACAAATCAAGCGGATTGTTCTTTTGGGAATGTTCATTTTTAACTAATTAAAATAAAAGAATTACTTGAATATTGTGGAAGTTGATATAAAAATCGCCAGTAAAACACATTAGGTTGGAATAATATTACCTCGGGAAAAAACTGTGAAAATTATTCCATGTGTGTCATATGTATTGATGTATACACGCCTAATTTAATTAAGACAATGGTGCAAATATTGTACTTTTAATATTAAACAATTTAAAAGCCAATGTCACAAAAAGAAAATCAAATAACTGCTAAAAATCAATAGGGCGAATAAATATGGAGAAATTGCACGAATACCAAGGCTTCACAGGTCGACTGCATGAATGGCGTGATAACATAAAGGAAAAAATTGTGGGGTTCCGAGAGCAAAACCCGGGAAATATTGTGGAACTAGCAAAAAATACCGCAAATGATCAATTGAAGGGCAATGCTAACGCCAATCAAGATTACTCTCATATCTACAGGTAAGCAGACAAAATCGTTTGCACGTCAATTTCGAACTCTACTTGGTTTCTATGTTTAACATAAATAAAATTGTATCCGATAAATGACCTGTTTTGCACACCAATGTCAATATTGGTATGTTGGTATACTAATGTTGCAAAGAAAAAAACATAATAATACCCTTGAAGTCTTGTAATAGAATGCAGTGATAAAAAACGATTAATGTCGTTCACTTTTAAAACTAAATTCATTATTGTTTATTGTATCATTCTAATTATATAAGTCATACTCTCCGAAAAAAAACCACAGCGGGTTTACTTTTTTTTAACAAAATCGATAATCGTGCCGATCGCTTGAACCTGAGCTACAGGGATACAGGGATCATGATATAAAAAATGTATAATAATTTCGAAATTTGGTTTGTTTACAAATATACACAGACATAGTAGGGACCAAACAAATTAGTTCGTTGTAGAAGAAGTTCGTTATATCCAAGGTAGGGCAAAACTAAGGATAAGCAGTAAAAAATATGTTCACTTCCGAAATAGGCAGTTTTATGTCCTCTCTGACAATACTTACTTAGCCAGCTTCTCTTTTTATACCCTTCACCACACTGTGATACAGGGTATTATGTCTTTGTGCATATATTCCTTTGGAGAATATGCATAGAATCACTTTCTAAGTCGATTTATAGATGTCCGTCTGTCCATGTTAAATTGTAAACAAAGTACAAGTCGCATTTATGATTCGAATTGGAAGAAATTTGGCGCAGTTAATTTATGTGGCCCAAGGATGAACCCTATTGAAATAGGGCTCAGATTTAGATATAGCTCCCATATATAATTTGGTCCGATTTAATGTAAATGGTGAACCAAAATCCCTATATATCTTTTGATTTGCACGAAATTTGGCACAGAGTACTGAATTAAGCCTAGAATGATGTATGCTAAGTTTCGTGAAAATCGGTTCAGATTTAGATATAGCTCCCATATAAATTTTCGTCCAATTTAATCTAAATGGTGCACCAAACACCCTATATACTCTTCGGTTCAGATTTAGAGATAGCTCTCATTTTCGTCCGATTTTAGGTAAATGGTGCACAAAACTCCTAATATTTGTCCGATTGGCACGAAAGTGCGGCATACCGAATAGCATGTATTATGTTTGCTATAAATCGATTTAAATAAGTTTGTCCCATTGTACGCAAACGACTCTAATTCTGCCTGAATGAAATGAAACTTAGCATAGGTTTCAGAATATATGTCCGGATTGATGTTAGTCGGTTCACATATAGATAAAGATCACATATTTAAGTTCGTTTAATTTCATGTTTCAATGTTCCTTGTGTAGAATATATCAAAGTGGTGAAGGGTATCATATCGACCCAGTCTGACTATACTACTTTTCTTACTGGTTCTTTATGGAATCTGACATTTTTGTAAAGGTTTTCAGCGTTAAGGTATAAAATGACTTTTGTGCGGATTGTCATCGTTAAGTTTTCTGTATATTTTAAGTTTTTCTGTATATATTGGTATGTTGGTATACTAATGTTGCAAAGAAAAAAACATAATAATACCCTTGAAGTCTTGTAATAGAATGCAGTGATAAAAAACGATTAATGTCGTTCACTTTTAAAACTAAATTCATTATTGTTTATTGTATCATTCTAATTATATAAGTCATACTCTCCGAAAAAAAACCACAGCGGGTTTACTTTTTTTTAACAAAATCGATAATCGTGCCGATCGCTTGAACCTGAGCTACAGGGATACAGGGATCATGATATAAAAAATGTATAATAATTTCGAAATTTGGTTTGTTTACAAATATACACAGACATAGTAGGGACCAAACAAATTAGTTCGTTGTAGAAGAAGTTCGTTATATCCAAGGTAGGGCAAAACTAAGGATAAGCAGTAAAAAATATGTTCACTTCCGAAATAGGCAGTTTTATGTCCTCTCTGACAATACTTACTTAGCCAGCTTCTCTTTTTATACCCTTCACCACACTGTGATACAGGGTATTATGTCTTTGTGCATATATTCCTTTGGAGAATATGCATAGAATCACTTTCTAAGTCGATTTATAGATGTCCGTCTGTCCATGTTAAATTGTAAACAAAGTACAAGTCGCATTTATGATTCGAATTGGAAGAAATTTGGCGCAGTTAATTTATGTGGCCCAAGGATGAACCCTATTGAAATAGGGCTCAGATTTAGATATAGCTCCCATATATAATTTGGTCCGATTTAATGTAAATGGTGAACCAAAATCCCTATATATCTTTTGATTTGCACGAAATTTGGCACAGAGTACTGAATTAAGCCTAGAATGATGTATGCTAAGTTTCGTGAAAATCGGTTCAGATTTAGATATAGCTCCCATATAAATTTTCGTCCAATTTAATCTAAATGGTGCACCAAACACCCTATATACTCTTCGGTTCAGATTTAGAGATAGCTCTCATTTTCGTCCGATTTTAGGTAAATGGTGCACAAAACTCCTAATATTTGTCCGATTGGCACGAAAGTGCGGCATACCGAATAGCATGTATTATGTTTGCTATAAATCGATTTAAATAAGTTTGTCCCATTGTACGCAAACGACTCTAATTCTGCCTGAATGAAATGAAACTTAGCATAGGTTTCAGAATATATGTACGGATTGATGTTAGTCGGTTCACATATAGATAAAGATCACATATTTAAGTTCGTTTAATTTCATGTTTCAATGTTCCTTGTGTAGAATATATCAAAGTGGTGAAGGGTATCATATCGACCCAGTCTGACTATACTACTTTCCTTACTGGTTCTTTATGGAATCTGACATTTTTGTAAAGGTTTTCAGCGTTAAGGTATAAAATGACTTTTGTGCGGATTGTCATCGTTAAGTTTTCTGTATATTTTTAAGAAGTTCGTTATAAACGAATGTTGTCTGCTAACTGAGTTTTGGGACCGAATAAATAGTTCGCTATATCCGTAGTTCGCTATAAGAATAAAGATTTGTATGTAAAATCTTCCTTTAAACTTCGGGACAAGGAAATGTGTTCGCTTTAAAGTAAGTTCGTTATAACCGGTGTTCGTTATTAGCGTACTCGACTGTATTTCTATGTATATCCTCAAAAGTAACATTTATTAACAATATATATATATATATTTAAGTAGTCCCCATAACGTTGGAGGTTATGAAAAGACCGCCGGATAAACATAACGACGTTTTTACTTGGTTTTATTTATTTCAGACTAAAAGCAGACCTTGTACTTGTCTTCACATTAACCCACATACAACGTTATGCATTTTTAAGGTCTTACCCACATTTTCTTTCATGCAAAGCCAACATAAGGTCACGAAGTAAATGCATCTGATTTGATTTTGTAGTTGAAAACAAAATAAATGTTAAAATTTTTTGTTATGACAAAGTCCTGTAGGAAATGTGAAATGTAATGTTATGAAAAATATAAAAAATATATTCAAAAATTGTTTGAAGGTAAATTTTACAACCTTGGTAAGAAGAAATTTATGATTTGTGGTTGAATCAATGTCTAAATCATATTCCCAACTCGATTTTTAACTCGATGACATTCCATTAATTTTTTGCGTTTTTGGAAGACAATTGAAAATATGCCAAATTAACAGAACGACTTGTTGCATTTGTTATTATTTATTCTGACACTAGCAAAGTGCACGCTACTTCGTATGCGGAAAGGTAATACAAAAAATATTTCATATGGAATCGTGAATACTGCAAATTTGTTGTAATATAGTTTGCGATTTAGTACTCTTCATACACAAAAGCACTATTTTCTGAAATATTTCTTACTTCCATTAAAGAGATTAAAACAAGTAAGGAAATTAGTAAAGTACCCCATGCAAAATTTCGTGCAAGTCGAAAGATATACAGGGACTTTGGTACACCATTTACATTAAATCGGACGAAGTTATATATGGGAGCTATATCTAAATCGGAACCGATTTTCATGATATGTAACACACATCGTTCTAGACTTAATTCAGCTCGCTGTGCCTAATTTCGTGTAAATCGAAGGATATATAGGGAGTTTGGAGCACTATTTACCTAAAATCGGACTAAAATATATATGGGAACTATATCTAAATTTGAACTGATTTTTCCCAATTTCAATAGGGTTCATCCTTGGTCCTTTTCGAACATATAATTACACATTTTCAAGACTACTTCCATACCGCCACCACTAAATTTAGTACCAGTTAGTATAAAAAACACTTTGGTACTTCTTTTTAATTCTCCGTCAGTGACCCACATTACAAACTTTATGTTTCCAGCTCTCTCCGTTGCCGAAATCGAAATTTAGTGCATTTGCCATTCTATTTACTATTCCTACACATGAATTCGAGTTTCCAAAGTTATCTCCATAGCTAAATACTACACTTTAACAGTAATCTAAATTCCAAATCTCAGGACCCAACCAAATCCAAATTGTTCCAAATTTAGTACCATCACAGTCATACGTAAGAATTTCTAAAACTACATCAATCTTACTCTCCAACAGTAATCTTAATCCCACCAAAGTCCAAATTTAGTACTTTTCGTACTCATAAGTACGAATTTCCAAACATACATCAATACTGATTTCAAATAGTAATCGTAAGACAAAACTTAGGAATTCCAGATCTGTCTGTTCACCAAAAACCAAATTGTACCAGATTTGGTACCATTCTGTACTTTTCGTACCCATATTCCAAACTATATCAAATCTACACTCCCACAGTAACATAAGTTTCAACATTCGGGATTCCAATTCTACCAGTTCACCTAAGTCCGAATTGTACCAAATTTCGTACCCTTAAGTACGAATTTCCAAAACTACCTCAGTCATGTTCTCCAATAATAACCTTTAGTCCACATTTAAGGATTCCAGCTCTATCCGTTCACCAAGAACCAAATTTAGTACCATTTATTACTTTTCGTAGAGGTAAGTGCGATTTTATAAAACTTCCTCAATTCCACACTCCAACAGTAATTTTAATCATAAATTTCAG